TTTTTTTTAAAGACAAGCTCCATCTATTGGTGGGGAGCAGCACCTGCTGGAAACCGGGTCCAGCGTCCCATAGATACAACCATATCGTCACAAATTGGCACAAACTGGGAACCGGGCCCAGCGTCCCATAACAAGTACACTCAGAAAACTTCATCAGAAATTTTGTGAAAATGAAACGAGAAACTACTAGAAAAGTCTAATTGGCCTAAGGATGGAATTTTGGAAATTGAGATGCCAGGTCCATTACCTGGCTTATGATTAGCAACCATAGGATTAAGACTAATTACTGAGCACAACTAATTAGCACCAAAATCAGAAAAATCTATCGAGATCGAGATAAGAGGTTGGGAATAAGAGAAATAAAAGGAATCAAAGGAAGTTTAAGTCGCGCATTTTTAGCATCTAATTCAGGAGATCAATCGAAGAATCTGATACATTTGGAATATTTTATCCAAGTAGGAAATTGATTTTGATGTCCTCACGGACTTTCGACTCTGATTTCCAGATTACTGAGGTAAATGGTCATTAGCCTCGCGGAAGATCGCGTTCATTTGTATTTCGGTGCTTGGTCGGTCTTACGATCCTTGCTTCAGCGGCCTTGGCTATGCCATCCTTTCGGGTTGAGCACTTCTTCAGCATTCGGCAGGCACCAATTCGTAACCCATCAGCTTCCTTCCATCCAGCATGATTAACTCTTCCTTACTACCCCTCACCAATTCCAGGTGTTGAGGCAACTTTGGCTAGACCTACTCCTGGTTCATGCTGCGAGACACAGATAATGAAATTGCCGACGCCAACCTACTACGGTAACAGTCAGTTCCTTACACTCGTAAGTTTGCTATGAAGGATGAAAGGTTTTACCCTAATAAATACTGTGCCTTTCCATGTGAATGCGTTCGATATGCACTGCGATCTTGGTTCCTCCATCTTTGAGTTTTATCTCACTATACTAACCGAGAGTGTTAAATCCAGCAATCCGGCCCACCAGATCAAGGTATAACGGTGGATAATACTCGGTTTCCTGACTCTTGAATGCACTGGTACGCGTATTCCGGTGTATAGTCTTCCTTCCTCCTTCCTCCAGCTTACCGAAAGGATGAGCTATGGTAAAAGAACGGCCACAGTACTCTATCCTACAGTAACTTCAGGACTACTTGGATAGTGCGCCGCAGAGGACCAGCCTCCTCCCACGAAGAGGGGAGCGCGACATCCAACACCCGTTCTTCGTCAAGCCGACGGACGTGACGGCCGAAGCGCGAAGCGACGCCAGGGACCGGAGCGCTACGCTACTCGCCCGGCGCCTGCGTCCCCCTGACCTTACCTGAGTGTATTTTTCTCTCCCCGTGTCCCTGCTTTCAGACAAGTGAGGGCGGAGACCAAATTCCTATTGTTAAGGAGTCTTTTTGAATTCCTTTTGTTTATTCCTATTGTTTTTGTCTTGGGAAAATTTATCTGGCACCCCTGTAATTTCCATTATTTTGCGTCACGCCCCTCCAACAGCCCACTTACCTTGTTGTGTCCCTCTGACCACGATTCAAATTTCCCATAAAACCCCGGAGTAGGCTGGATCTGAAATATTTTTGCCATGCCCCTAGGCTAGCGGTACCTGTTCCAAATTCGCAGTATGCCCCTACCGGATAGCCGTTCAGTACCAGCACTGAAATTTCCCATATGCCCCTACCGGTAGGGTGCATGTTTTCAGCGCAGCTCTATGGCTACGTGCATGGCGGCCAGTTCATTTCTCTCTCTCTCTCTCTCTCTCTCTCTCTCTCTCTCTCTCTCTCTCTCTCTCTCTCTCTCTCTCTCTCTCTCT